AAAAAAAAAATGTTCTGAAGGCCTTAGAAGAGCATATTATTTAGTTTTGTGGTTTATGTTCCTTTATTTTTTCTCTCTCTTCTTATTCTCCTGTATGAATTTTTTTGCATTATCCAATTGTATGTAATTTGCAGTGCAATGTTGAGATTATTTTTTTGGAAATGACTTTCAATTACTTACTGTTTTCGGAGTATTTCTCCTACTGGAAGATAAAGCTGAAGAACAGAGAAAAGTATTTTCCATTGTTCCCTAGGCAGGGCACAGCTTTCTTTCTGCTAATACGTTCTGTCCACATTAATGCCGTGCCCTTAATTATTGGCACTGGAAGCTAATATAGGACTTTCACAACCTTCATCTTAATAACAACACGTCAAAGTTTCCTAAGGCAAAGATACAGAGTACAACTCATGTTTCTGGGGGAAGATGTATTATAGGTTCACATAGAATTGTGAAATATTTTTATCGAAAATGTTCAGACTAGTTCCTCTGATAGTCTTTGAAAATCCAAATAAAGAATCTCTCGATTTCTCATCTTTTACTTTCATAGAAAAATCCTTTGCCTAACAATAAACAAAAGGATATCTCTTTCTGATAGACCAGAGAATAGGAATTCTTATGTGTCAATGAATTATCTAGTAAAGTGGTTAATTGTTCCTTCTTCTTTTTTATTTCCTTGTAAAAAGAAAAGCTTATATATTACCTAGACCTATCTAGGTCCTAAAACATAACCGTGAATAGCAACATGAACATAATTAACTGTTTGATAGGACTTCAAAGTAAAAATGATTAAAAGGGAAACTCTAATATTTTTTTCTTTCTTCTTTACACTTGCTTTTACTTTAGTAATTTGGGCTTGCCTTTGACATAACTATTCTGTGTTTATTTTTTTACTCAATATATCCTGGTGAGATGCATTCCCTTCAGAAAAGACAATGATAAGAAGGCTTTTGGGGAAAAAATAATTAATTTTAAACATGTGACACTGACTTAGTTATTTCATTAGCAAATGCTAAATATTATCTCTACCTGTATTTACTCACCCATAAGTCCTAAAAGAATGTAGCCAAGGATGGCCAGGACGAAGACCACACAGCAGAGAACATCTGTACAACTCCTAAAGACAAAGAGGAATGAAGAATTAAAAGAGGTCCTGAGGACTTCTTATTTATGGAACAGAATAAAAGAAGGGAGAAATAGACAATAACAGTGATGTGCCTTTTTATAGCCAATAATTCTGAAAGGTAGACCAGATGTATTTTTGTAATCAATGACTTTAGCAGACACACATAGGTCATAGTTGCATGATCAAATAAGCTCTCTCAGAATTCTTAGTATTTATTTTTCTTGGTTCTTTGTTTGTAATATATTTTTAGAGACTAAAGTATGCCTACATCAAGTAGCTTTTTTTTTTAAATTTAAAACTGCAATGTAAGCTGTTGGATTTTGTGATTTTCCTCTTCATGTCTCTCCAACACATGGTATAAAATAATTAGCCATTTCCCAGGCCCCCTTCTCCATTTTCTCTCTATACACATGGTAAGAGTAACATTATGAAATGAAGGATTGACTATATTGAACTTTCTGTGGGGAGTTGAATTACAACTTTCCAGGGACAATGTACATGAAGTATTGAAAATATAAAATGCCTAACACTGTGATTTTTCCAGCTATCCTAGAAGCTAGATAATGTTAAATTAGGTTTGGAGAAAATTTGACTGGGAGACTCAATGAGTTACTGGAAGTCACAAACCAAGCAGGTTTAGGATTCAGCAGGAATACCAGGATTTCAACTACAGTATTTCCTATTCCCATTACTTTATCTCGTTCAGTTTGTAAGTGATCTGGAAAGTCTTAAAAGTGAGCAGAAAAATCATCGTTTTTTATTTTTAAAGAAAAAAATCAACCCACTTGACAGGATTAAAGCTTGCACATAAGAATTTTTATAACAGAAAGTTCTTGATCTTGAAGGTACATAGAATGCTCTAATTTTCAGTACAGGCAGGTCGAAGTTAGACACACATTTTTTTAGTGGCAGTAGTTGTAATAGTAATGAATAATAATTGTGCATAACAGACACAGAAATACCTTACCTTGATAACACCTAATACACTTTGATTGCTTTCATTTACATAATTTTGTGAGTTTCCCAAGTACAGCTTAAGGTTCTTAGGGTAGTAAGGTGAGCTGACTTACTTAAGGTGCACGAGAAAGTTGGTAACAGAGACAGGTGAATATCCAGGAATCCACCACTGAACCTTTTTTATTTAGTCATGTTCATATAATTACAATTTTCTGTAAAGTTCCAATATAGCTATATCTAAAATTAATCACACACATTCCTATAGTTCTTTAAGTCACTGCAGAAAATGGACCTTTCAGAGAGAAAGTTAATTGTGGTCAATCCAGAAATAAACTATCATATGTTAAAATTCAGTTTCAAACTAAGAATTTTTAATTTGAATTTAAGAATTATGAGAATAAAAACAGCAAGAGAAGAAAGCGGCCACTGTAGTTCTCTTTTGTTGAAGGAACTTAACCGTTGAAAGTGGCACCTGCTGGGGGGTGGGCTGAGTATCTGTTCCTCATGCATTCTGACGCGTCCTGCTCAGGATCAGGTTCCAGCCTGCTGCAGCAGTTTTTAATAGCCCAACACCTAACAGGGAATGCCTGCAGGTAAGAAACTGAAGGAGAGAAACTATAGCATTGGTGT